GCCCCCGCCCCGACTGCAAGCGGAGGGCCCAGGCCGCGCGAGCGGCGGCACCAGCTCCGCACCGCAGCAGGCTCGCCATTGTCTGCGTCCTGCGCGCAGCCCTTGGGGGAAGGAGGGTGTGGGTCCCTCCTTTCAGATGACAAGAAGGACCTAGTGCAGCCAGCGTGGGTGGGGCTCCAGGCCAGGGTTCCTCTATTCCTTCGCTGTGGGAGACTCCCGGGCAGTGGCAGTTACCCTTTAACGCTGCGTGGCCCGCACAGAAGACAGGCTTCCCATGGCTGCCACTGCCCAGGGACAACCCTGGCCTGGCCACCTCTCCGCACTGCTTTCGTGCAAGGGAGGGCGCTCAGCTTCATGTTCCTAACACTGCACCCCAAGAGCCCTTGGGCAAAGACCCTTGTGTTTCCCTGCCCCCCCCAGCCCCAGAGCATCCATGTGGAGGAATCAGTGTCCCCATACCAGGGGCACCCCAGGGCTGCCTTACATTGGGGGTTAGTGAAAGCCGCTCCTTCTGCAGAGCCTCAAAGGGCTGCTCTGGGCTCTCCCTGTCAGCTGGACCACCTGGAAAGGAAAGGTGTGCCTGTGGGTACTGCCCACCTGCCAGGACCAAGCGTGGCAGGGCCAACACCCACCTCCTCACCCCTGATGTTGCCTGGTCAGTCCTGCACCATGTGTTGGGTTCTTGCTTGGACCCCACAAGGACTCCCATTGTATAGATGAGGGTCCTGGGGCTCACTCTCCCAGGAGAAGGTCCTCTGAGGCTGCTCCAACCATGGACCTCTGCTCTTCCCACCAGGATGGCCCAGCCCCTCCTCAGTGGGGGCTGGGGTACGGCAGTGGTAGAGAGCAGAAGATTCCAGGCTGCTGGGACCCTCCGAATGTGCCAGGGCCTGGATGGGCCCGGGGCTCAGGACTCTCGGATAACAGGTGCTCTGAGGGGCTGGCTCCCCTAAACTGGCCATGATGGGGGCACTATGGACTCCAGTCTCAAGGACGTCATAGTGGGCCCAGGTCTCTGCCTGGAGCTGACACCTTCTCTCTCCTCAGCCTCCAGTCATCAAGCTGCCCTGGCTCCCGCATGGGGCCCCGCCACCACTGGGCTGGGGCTCCTGGGCTCGTTGGGCTTGCCACCTTCCAGGTCCTGCTGCCTGTCCCCCTGTGGGGGCTCAGTGACCTCAAGCTCAGTCTTTGGGGAACAGCAGACTGCCCAACCCTCACTTCTCTATTTGGTGCCCCTTCTTCCTCTTTTGCCCCCTTAGAAGCTGGGTTCAGGCCTGATGCTGGGAAGTCTTATCTGGCTTCCCACGCAACTTCTTCTGTGGACCCTCCCCCTCCCCCTCCTCTTCCTGGCCCAGCACCAGGCTCTTCTGGAACTCACACCACCTTCAGAACAAGCCCCTCACCCTATGTCACCTCTGGGCCATCTGGCTGCCCCAGCACAGTCCTGTCTCCAGGCAGGCAGAGGGATCCCGCCCTGCTACCTGAAGCCCCCAGCTCCCTGTCATTCACGACAGCCTCTCTTTCCTGTTCTGTCCCCACTTCCTAGCATGGCACACATGGCACACCTGGGCATTGGCTGATGGCCACCTCCCCTTGCTCTCTGCTGGAAGAAGTTCAGTGGGGGCAGGATGCCTGCACCCTGCAATCCTGGAGCTGGAGGAGGGACATAGGCCCTGCAGACCTGGCCCCAGGTTCAAATGGGGCTCTCATTTCCTTGCTGGGGGACTTCAGGGGTTACTGATCTCTCCCAGCTTCAGTGTCCCTATCTGTAAAGTGCAGTGGGACAGGGCCGGAGGACCCATCCCCAGGCACCAGCCACATGGGGCTGCGTGTGCCGAGGATCTGGCATCAACTCAGGACAACAGGGAGGCCTTGGCAGCACCCATGCCCCCTCCTCACCTTTGTCAGAGAGCTGGGCCTCCTCCAGTTCCCGGGGGATCGAAAGCTTTCAAAGAGAGATGGGGCAGCTGGTTAGGACACTGCCCCTGTGGACCTGGACCTAACCCACTGTGCTGCCGTCTCCATTGCTGTCACCCTCTGCACAAACTTCTCAGGGACCTCTGCTGCACAGCCAGGCCAGGACCCTATGAGGGCCTGGGGTGGGTGCTGCCAGGTCTGTCCTGCCCTGAACGGAGGACCTGCAGGCATCAGCTGCCCTTTCTCTGCCCGGCTGAGTGTTGGGAGGAGAGGGGACAGCCCAGCTCACCAGAGCTGGTGGCAGGCGGCCGAGTTTCTGGAGCTTCCGAGGGACATGTATGGGGCTGTTGTCTGGCAGAGGCTGTGGCCAGGAGCCCACCCGGGGGTCACACTCACCTCCTGGGAGTTCCTGGGTGAGCTGTCCTCCAGGTCGGAGCTCTGTAGTCACAGAAGAGGGGCTGGTCAGCAGGCTGTGGGGGAATTGAACCGCCTCGGGAATGGGCTGTGGTGGGGTATGGTGAGGGGAGGCCAGCCTGTCCTCCAGGGAGGTCCCTCTCTCCCCATTACTACACACAGAGCCACCTGCCAGGCCCTGAACTCCTAGAGGTGGGCTCCTTTTGAGGGGGCTCAGGAAGGCCTCAGGACCTGCCAGGGCCACCAGGGGGCAGTGGCCGAGCCAGTCCAGGACCGAGGCTATCCAGCAGTTCCTCCTCCGGGCTCTGGGGTCTCTGGGGACCTGCCTGCCCCTGAGAGGCCACCCCAGTGTCCCACCGCAGCAGGGGCCCCAGGGAGGCGCACCAGGATGAGCATCTCCAGCTGCTGTTGCTTGAGCCTGCCCTCCACGGCCAGCAGCTGGCCCTCGCGCTGGAACAGCTGTAGCTGCAGCTCGTCGGCCTTCTCACCCAGCTCCCGCACCTGCTTGCGCAGCGTGTCCTTGTCCTTCAGGCTTCGGGCGTACTGCGTGTGCAGCTCCTCCCGGGACGCGATGGCCTGCAAGGAGACCCAGGGTTGGGATCTGCACAGCCCCGCTCCCAGCACAGCCGCCTACATCCAGCAAAGGCCCAGCTCAGCCTCCTCTGTCCTTGTTCGGGGATTGTAACCGTAACAAAGGCTCGTGACGCGAAATGTGGGCAGTTCCGAAAAGATCCAGGAGATTAAAATTCTCCACACTCAACCAGCCCAGTGTGCCGCGGGGACATTCCCCACACTTTGTGCCCCACACATGGGTGTACAAATTTTGGCTGTGGCTGATATCAAGACCGTGATTGTGAACAGCCATGTAATATTCTTTAAAACGAATGCATCACACTGTGTCATGCCCACCCCTCACAGGACGCTGAGCGTGAGACTGAACGTATACCATGTCCGAGGACAAACTCAGACCCGCGGCCTGCAGCCATTGTCTACAGTGACAGGCCCAGGAGGCACAGCTGCCAGTCGCACGTGGTAGGCCCATCCACATCCCTGGTAACAATCGGCCCCCAACAGCCAGGACTGGATTAATAGCAGAACTTCCTAAGTTCAACCCTGCTTCCAACTTAGGACCACCCAGATGACCATACGCACTCTGCCGGCTGCCCTGCCCCACCCTCCCCAGGCCCACACACCTGGCCTGCCTACGTGACTAATGCTCTCCATGCTGCCTGCCTACGAGCCTCCGCAGCTGCCAGCGAGGGGACCCCTGCTCCAGCCAGCTCACCTCAGAGGTGCTTCCCAGTTCTCACTACTGTCCATGGCCTCAAGATAATCTGCATTCCTATTACTCCCAGGAGGGAGGTTTCTAGAAGTGGAATTGCCGGGCTAAAAGGAATCTGCGGGTCTAGCCGGTTTGGCTTAATGGTTAGAGCATTGGCTGGAGCAGGGGTCCCAGGTTCAATTTCAGCCCAGGGCACATACCTAGGCTGCAGGCTCGATCCCCAGCCCTGGTAGGGACATGTGCGGGAGGCAACCAATCGATGCGTCTCTCTCTTTCTCTGAAAAGCAATGGAAAAAATATCCTCAGGTGAAGATTAAAAAAAAGGAATCTTCAGTTTAAGGCTCCTGCTGACACATGGTCAGCGACCCTCCAGATGTCACTGAGGCAGATGGGTGCGGGGGAAGGTGAAGCGGATTCAGTTCTATGTGGCACACTGCCTCCCATCCACAAGACTGCAGCTGGCCAAGGTGCCCATGGTTTTTAGGTTTAAAAGTTATTTGCAAAACAAGACAGATAGCTTCCATGTTTGTAAAACAAAAACGAAACTATATGTACATTGGAAAAGTCTGGAAAGTCCAGTGGAAGGTGGAGTGTGGATTTCCTGGCAGTGGACTGGGTGGAGGTGGGAGCAATATTAACTTCACTACCATTCACATTTTTAGACAAGCGTGTACTGCTTTTGTCCTTCAAAAACCACTTTGACAACTGCCCTCCCACCCCCACCCCGCCAGCTGCTGCACTGGCGGCCTACGTGGAGGAGGGAACAGCCCTCTCCTGGGCTTTTGCCCCCCGCAGGTGTTCTCTACCTGGTCCCGCTCGATAGCGACCTCCTCCATCTGCTGCAGGATGGCCTCGATGCGGTCCTTGTACATCTTGGAATCCTTCCGCAGGGCCATGCACTGCAGCTCGAACACCTCCTTCTCCTCCATGCACTGTGGGGAGACGGTAGCTAGCCACCGCCACCCGCTGTCCCCCATTCTGGAGGCTGTGTGAGCCCCTCAGGACCCGCCAGCCCTGGGCTTCCAGACCAACCATTGGGCCTGACCATCCCAGGGAAAGTGGGCAAGGGGTGGGGTGAGGAATCAGGCCCCTGTGCCTCCAGGAAGGGGGACGCATGGATGTGGCGCTGAGAGTGAACACTGTGCCCGTTCTAGGCACTGTGTGGGCACAGGACAGACCCACAGCCCGCCCAGCCTGGCTCGGCCCCCGGGCCCTGTGCTCAGCTGTCCCAGCGGCGTACCCGGGCGCGCAGGGCCTCGCCCTGGCGCAGGTCTTTGCGCAGGGCGAAGATGACGTTGGCCTGCTCCTGGTGGTCCCGCAGCGCCTGCCGCCAGTCCTCCTCCAGCACCTGGATGTAGGGGCTGTTCTTGTTCGGCTTCCCCTCCTGTGGGTGGCGCAGGGCATAGGGCGGCAGGGCAGCAGCCTGGCGGGGGCAGGCGCCCGACCCGCCAGCCCCGGCTGCACCTGCCCCGCCAGCCCCCACCTGGATGGAGGCCTCCAGCTCCTGCACGCGGGCCTGCAGCAGCGCCTTCTCCTGCTGCAGCTCCCACAGCAGCTCCTGGCTGGGCCGCTGCTCCATGGCGTGCCGAAGCTTCAGCGTGTGCTTTCGTTCCACCTTGCAGTCATCCTCGGCCTTCATCAGGCTGTGCTTGAGCCGGTCCACCTGCAGGACGGCCATCAGCCTGGCAGCCCCTCCTCACGGTGGCGGGGCCCACAGCCATCCCCCACTGCCCAGGACGCCCGCCTTGGACCCGGAGAGCACCTCCAGCTGCAGGTCGCGGTTCCGCATGAGCGCGGCGCCCTTCTCCTCGCTCTGGCGGGCCAGGCGCATGGCCAGGTCGTAGTTCTCGTCCTTGCAGCGCTTGAGCTCCCGGCTGCAGGCCTCGCACTCCTCCTTGAGCCTCTGCACGCGCTCCTGGTGCTTGCGCAGCAGGCTGTCCTTGACCCGAAGCTCCTTGATGAAGTCATCCTTGGAGCTCAGCAGGGCCGTGAGGTCCTGCACCTTCTTCTGCAGCTTCATGACCTCACTCATCAGCAGCTGCGTCAGGCCCGACTCCCCGGACGCATCTGCAGGCCGGCCTAGTGTCAGACGGTCCCCTGCGACCCTCGCTGCCCGGCCCCATCACCTCCCAGGGCCCTGGACTTGACCAGCAGCTCCTGGCTCCTGGGGACAATTCTGAGTTACCCTCTGTTGAGGAAATGGACTGAGATTCTGACTCAGCCCCCCACAGGACAGGGTGCTGGGCACCTATCCCTTTCTCTAATTTTGTTGTGATCTTGACTGTGAGTCAAGAGGACTCAACTCCAGGGCCAGGAGAGTGCTGCCTCGCCTTTGCTGGGACTAACAGGTCCCTGACCTCTCAGGGGTCAGACTGCCTTCTGGGTAGGACAGACTCTAGGCCATGAGTCGGTCTGTGCACCCTCACCTCCCACCTGCATGGGAGCCAGGACCAGACACCCCCATGTGGACCCTCCTCATGCATTTCCCCCCATTTTATCCACTGGGAGACGATACAGGGAAGGGCCCCCAGCCCTGCTCCCAGGCCCACCCCACACGGTCCCCCTGCCCCTTGACCATGACTCAGTGCCCCACAGGCCCTCTGGCCCCCATGTCTGGGCCCACCCCACACTGGTGTCCAGTCCTCACCAATGATCATAGAGAAGACTCGGGCAGGCTCCTTGCCCGTGACCTTCTTGTAGAGCTGTGGGTAGTACAGCTCCAGGCTCTCGAGGAAGGCCACATAGCCCTTGTGGCCTGTCCGCTGCAGGATGTCCAGGAGCACGCCTGCAATCCAGAGAGGCCTGCTGGGCCGGTGGTCGCCTTTGGGAGGTGCGCGGGGCTGGGGCCCAGACAGCCCTGCAGGCCCTGTCCTGGGCTGGGGTCCAGGTGCTGACCACCCACATGTGCCAAGCACACAGGACAGGTGCTAGTAAACAGGATTTCCCATTCACATGCCGCCACTGGGGCTAGCCCTCCTGGGGACCAGGGTGGGGAACAGCAGCGGCCCCCTCTGGGCTGGCTCCTGGATGACCAGGGTGGGGCAGCACTGACCCACTTTCCGCTTGCGGATGACCAGGTTGGGGTCGCTGAGCACCTGCTCCTCGTCATCGGGGTTTAGGACCTTGCACTGCCGCAGGTAGGGCGTAATGCGCGAGGGGTCGATGACGGAGATGAGCTTCACCCTGAAGCCCTCCAGGGTGCTCCAGCACTCGTCCTCGTTCTCATAGTCCGACATGGCAGCAGGGTGGCGGGAGTCCGGAGAGCACTGGGAGCGACACCCGCTCGCTGAGCTGTCAGTCCCAGCCAGGACCCAGGCCTGCCACCCAGATGCCCAGCCAGAGCTCTGGGCAGAGCCCGACAAGGAGAGGTGTGCAGCCTCACCCGACCCTCCCATCTGGGCGACCAACAGAGGGGGCGATAGTGGCATGGTGATCTGCTCCCCATCAGCTCACCGGGTGGCCCTTTCCAGCCTTCCTTGGGCCCTGCTCCCACCCCTTTGGCCACCCTGGCCTTCCTCTGTCCCTGAGTCTCCAGGGTGAGTGTGGCAGGAGGTATGGAGATGCTCCAGGGACAGGTGGAGTCTAAGAAATATGGTCCTCCACACCATGCCCTCCGGCCTCTTCCCTGCTCCTGGACACCCTCAAGTGCCATGGAACTGGAGCTGGCAGGGAGGTGAGCAGGCAGGAGGAGCTGTTTGTGCGAGCTGGCACTACCTCCCTGGCAGGTGGGGGAGGGAGGCTCCAGCCCCCAGGCAGCCGGTGCCCAGGCTGGGGCCAGAAGCACGTTGGCAAATGACCCTCCCACCCGCGCAGCCCCACAACTGACTTCCTCATTCCCCGACTTAGCACCCGCTCACATCCCAGCCCTATCCCCTCCTCTCCTTCCGGCAGCTGGCTGGTGGTGCAACAGTCACCCAGCAGTTGCCCAGTGCTGGCTGGCTCTGAGTCAGGCTCAGCGACACTGCTGTTTGGGAAGGGTGACTGGGTGCCTATAGGAGAGCCAGTGCCGGCACAAGGGGAGGGGCTGCGTGAGGTGACACCCAGGGACTGCCTGACATGTGGCTTTGGCGCCTGCCCCAGGCGCTCTGGTCCCAGGCACCTAGCCATCTCTGGGCTCCTCTCCTGCCTCCCAGATGAGGCCTGCTCTAGGTCCCACTCTTGGGGACTGTCATGTCAGCTCTCTGGCAAGGGGACTATCTATGTTGGGACCACCCATTGCTGTTCCTTCTACCAGCAAAAGGCAAACTACTCTCTGGGGCCAGGCCGGGGCAGGAAGCAGTCATGTGGTTTGCTCCTTGGGTGGTAGGGACAGAGGCCTTGACCCAGCCACTTGAGACAAAGCCTTCAGCTCATGTGGGAAAGGTCAGTTCCAGCTCCCAGGAGCTAGACCACAGTCCTAGAGACCTGGGTGGTGGCAGGCTGGGCTTTTGAGGAGTTTCTCTGACTTCCTGCTGTGCTTTGTAATCCCACCCAGTCCAGCAACAGCGAAGGCAACGAGGAAAAAAACAGCAACTCTGGACGGTCCTTGGACCTTCAGTCTTCCCCTGCCTTTCTAGCCTAAAGCCCACAGGTCCTGCACCTGACCCCTTGCTATTGGTTCCACTGAAATGCATAAGCAGGTGTCAGTGGCTGTGAAGGGGGACAGGACAGAAAAGTTGAGGCCACTTGGTGCCCCTCTGGGACCTTTGCTCCAGGACCTGCTCCTGCCCCAGGAGTCCCAGCAGAGAGCCCAGTGTCTCCCCAGCCACCTCTCAGAAAAGACAAGGACCAGCCTACCTCAGGGTCCTGAAGGGGGCACCCGCACAACTGGATGCCGGTCAGTCAACGCCACCGATTCAATGAGGGACAGGAGGTGCTGCTGGATAGCCTGGGAGGGAGGGTGGAGCCGGGAGGGAGCCCTGAACTTCCTCAAGGGGGACAGTCCCAGGTGGCTGCCTTCTGATTGGCCCAGCCATGGAGGCCCCGAGGCCGGGTCCAGGGAAGTGGAAGTTGCCGGAGCTCAGAGGAAAGCTGTTGGGAGCCCTCCCAGGCCAAGAGGCCTAGCCTCAGCACCCCATAAAGTACAAGTGTTGGCAAAGGCTCTCCCAGGGGCTGGCAAGGCCATCACCATCCATTCTGCTGTGGCCCAGACACAGGCTTCTGGGGGCTTTTTGGGCAGGGGGTACTCTATGCCTAACATGTTCACCTTCAGCAGCCCCACGGGGACCAGCAGCTAGACGGGGACCAGGCCTACATAGGGGGTGCTGGCAAGAAGAGCTAAGCCAGCGATCTGAGGGGATCAGCCTGACTCTGGGCTCCCACACACAGCCAGGCCAGCACATGCTTTGGGCACATAAGGACTACAGTGTGGTGTCCCGAACGCAGGGTCTGGGGAGACCACTGCAGCTAGGAAGAAGGCACAGGCCCGGCTATTCTTGCCCCACACCATCGCCAGCCAACACCGCAGCTAGCATACCCCCATCCCTTCCTGGGAACATCCCCACTTTCCACCAGGACATATGGGACAGTGACAGCAGCTCCCAAGACTCCGGTGGCCACAGCATCAGTCCTCCGTGGGCTGTGGAAATCCCCAGGCCACCACCTCACCAGTGCAGCCATACCGGTTGAACTGAGTTGCCACCTCCTGGGTTGAGGTGACAGCTACAGGACAGGCAGGATGAGCAGGATGGGCACCTGACGTGCTCCCGGCTCCACCTTCCTGAGGTGCCACCTCGCCTAGCTGCTCCCTTCCTGTGGGGCCCTGATCCTCAGCCCTGGGCTTCCCTGCCTCCCAGCCCACAGCAGTCAGCCACCTGTATGGCTGAAACCTTGAGAGTCTTGGCATAACCAGGTTCTGCTGAGTCTTGGTGGCAGCATGGCAGCATGGCCCTCCCAGAGACCAGCAAAGGCAAGGCATAATGCCTGGAGAAGCAGGCAGCCAGGGGTCCCCCACGCCCTTGGGGGGAGCTGCACTTTGGGGACCTGTGCCCCGGGCGGGGCGGGGCTGGGTCCCTGCAGGAGTGGGCAGCTCCGCTCTGACCCAATGGCAGGCTTGTGAGGGACCCCTGACCACCCATTTCCCTACTTTGTGAAATGAGGCTGAGAGGGGCATTAAATAATAAACATATCTCATTCTCGGGGTACACAGGGACCAAGCTAGAAATCAGGGACAGGAACTGTCTGGACAACCCCTGCATTTTTGGAAATGAAATACAAACCCCTAAGTAAGCCACAGGTCATAGGAAGTCAAGGAAAACTAGAAATTAGTTGAGAGCACTGGGTGCAAAGCAACACCCACATGAACAGGCAACTGAGTGGCCATGGGCCCAAGGCAGGTGTGACGTGTGCTGTCTGGAGAGGTGAAGGGGAGGCTGGGGCCAGGACACAGCTGGGCCCAGTAGTTCCATTTCTCTGTTGTACGCTTCCGGTAGTAAGTCAGTGAAATCAAAGTGAAGTGCCCACAAGGATGAACCATGGAACCACGAGCCTCAGAGGCTGTAAACCGAAGCCAAGCCCAGTGCCTTTGGGACAGAGGGACAGGGATAGGAGCTACTGGGACTTGGTCTTAATGCTAATACACCTGCATGAAAGGAAGGAGCACCTCATGGGCCGTCTGGGTTGGCCGGTGTGGTCTGGACGGCAGAGGAAGTGGGTCCCCCTGGTCCCTAAGGTGGCACCCAGAGGGCCAGCAGCCACATTGCTTCTTGTGAAAAGGGCCTCTGCTTCTCTATCCCCCCACATCCTGGAGAGGCCCAGAGTGCAGGGGCTCCGAGGACGCCAGGGCCCAGCCTGCTGGCTCCCAGCATGTCCAAGAGAGGCCCAATCCCTCTGCTCACCACCCAGTATCTCAGGATGAGACCACAAGAGTCTGTGGCTTGCTTTTTAATTAAAAAATAGGACATGTATTAATTCTTTCAAATATTCCAATTTGCACTTGGGAAGCAGCCAAGTCCCTGTGACAACACAGTCACTATTGGCAGAGCCTCCCCGGGACCCAGCCGCTTTCTCCTCCAGGTGAGTAATGGGCTGGCCAGGTCCAGCAAGGTCCCAACTCCTGTCAGTGGTGGTGACAGCGGGCATCCAGATCGGGTAGTCCTGGAACACAAGAACACCCTGGTGTGGGGGGCGCATCCTGACTGGATCCTAGGAGGCACTGTGCCTGGCGGGGGAGGGCAGGATCCATGGAGGGCAGCAAGAGCCAGAGGGTGGCCTGCAATGACAGGTCTCCTCTGTGGGCTTGCCCCCTGCCCCGGGAAACTCACAGCCCACACTGCTCTGAGGAGCCGCTACTGCCTCTGGGGACCTGCTGACCAGGTGTCCTCCCACATTAGGTCTGTTTCAGGGACTCAACCAATCTGAGAGCCTCCTTGGTGCCTGCGGTCTGGGCACTGGGGACCCAGCAGCAAAAAGCCATGTACCTGCCCTCATGGCCTCATGTTCACGGGGAAGACAATGGACAAACATGGACAGAGTGTCAGGGAGGGCTGAATGCCTCAGGAAAGATGGACACTGGGTCAGGCTATGCCTCCTTAGGAGAGTGATCGAGGAGGGTGCCTCTGAGGAGCAGGCAGACAGGAAAGACTGCGGGACCGAGGGACAGAAGGAAGTAAGTGCCTGGACACCAGGGTGTGGTAGCTGAGTCAGCTGGCCCTCCACCTGGGACCCCTCCAGCGTCTGGACCCACCTGCCTAATACCATCAAACCTGACGTGAGCTCCCCGAGGCAGGGCCACACCAGCCATCAGCCCTGGCCACCCCACTGCACCTGGACAGCAGCTGCCCCGTACTCACCTGCTCACAGCAGCCTCCTCCGCTTCCGGACGTGCCGGCCATGCCGGGTCCTGAGCACATCAAAGTCATCAGAATCGTCCTGGAAGGAGGGGGCAGAGACCTTGCCAGAGTCGGGGGCTCCCTGAAACAAATTCCAGGCAGGGGGACAAGAGTGATGCTCTAGCCAGGATGGACTGGATGGGGGGCAGTGAGGAGCAGCAAGGAGTGGGCTGTGGACACTGCACCTCCCAACCTCTGGGACAGGCAGCTCTCAGACGCAGAGGCCCCAGTAGCACAGCCACTGCAGGCTGGGCCTGGTGATACCAGGGGCCACAACAGGCAAGGAACGGGAGGGACGCTGCCCTTCCTGGGGCCACATGGGGGCTCTGGCTTTCTGCTTATCAATGTCTCATCTGGGGCTCCAACACCCTCTAAACCCCTGGGTGCCAGCCTGTGTCCTGGTTTCCCCAGCTGGGTCAGCAGGACAGTGACTGAGGAACACATGGAGAGGTGGGTGGAGAGACTGCACACACAACAGGGGACAGGGAGCCTCTTTCCCTTGATATCTAGGGTCCAGCCGTGTCTCCACTGCTCGTCAGCCCAGAAGACAGCCCTGGCACCACTAGGCAAGGACCCTGGGAAGGTGGTGACATTTCCAATAGCCCAGGCTGGATTGAGTCTATAGGGAGGGTGGTACAGTCCTCAGCCATAGCCCCTGCCTTCCATGTGTTCACCAGCCCTGCGGCCATGGCAGCCTAGGTGGGGAAGGGGAGGGCCACCACTTGCTCCTGGGACATACCTGCAAGGACCCTGGACAACCTCCCTGACTTAGCACAAAGTGTCTGAAGTGGTCCAGCTCTCCTGCTTGGCCCCAGACAATAGGGGAAGTGGAGGTGGCCTTGCTGGGGACTCTTGGGTGCCCACAGCCACAGAGGTGCAGGGACACCTTCCTGCATGTTCCTATCATGTTTCTTATTAGAAAACAGGGACAATGGTTTTGCCCCGAAGCTTAGAAAGTCCTCCTGAGGTGACTGGTGAGGTCCTGGTGTCCACAGAAGTGCAGGGGCAGGAGTAGGGCCACCCAAGAGTGGGGTGGGGGATGCATGGGGGGCACAGAGCCCAAGTTCAGGTTCTCCCTCAGACACAGCTGAGGGTCTCCCTGTGTTAGAAGCAAGGTTCCTTCCTCTCTACAGTGGCCAAAGGGGAGGCACTTTCTGCACACAATCCACACACAGCTGGGCAGGCGTGCGGCCACCTGCTTCCTCCTCCGAAACCAGCCCCAGTTCTCTTGGCCGCCACTTCCACCTGCTCGAGTCCCTGCCCCCACCCCACTACTCTGGGCAGGACACACACCCGCAGGCAGGCGGGGGCACCATGGGGGGCAGCCCTCTGTGACCATGACCACCTACCTGGACAGGGGCCGTGGCCACTGGCCCTGCCTGGGGCCTGCCGCTCACCCAGCAGCCTGGCTGCCTGTCGCCATCAAGGAGCTCCAGCTCCTCCTGGTCGTCCTCCTCACTCCCAGGGTCAGCTCTCATGGCTGCTGACAAGGTGGTGCAGACACCACGAGGGGGCAGGGTGGCTAGGAGCGCGGGGAGGGTGAAGGCTGCCAGGAAGCGGGCCTTCAGCAGCAGGTAGGCTGGGTTGTCCTGCAGCTGCCTCCGCACCCGCCCCAGCGAGGCCTGCAGGGCTTCAGCCGCCTCGCCGGGCACCAGGGAGGCTGCTCTATGTTCCAAGGTCTTCTTGTGGAGCAGGAGGCGAGACAATGCTCGCAGGTTGCACAGGGCGGGGGGCTGGTAGGGCAGCCTGCTGCCCAGTGGGAGCACATGTACCCCTCGCTGCCCCCTCAGCCACTCCCGCACGGTTGTCTCATTCTCCTGGGAGAGGAGACTGAGGTCCAGGGCACCCTTCCCAGGCCCAAGCTGGGGTGGGGGTGGCCTCTCCAATTCCAGAGGCGCCCTGGTCTCCCCTGGATCTGAGGGAGACACCAGTGTTCTTCCTGGGCTATTCCCTGGGCCAGCACCACAGTGCGGAGGCAGCTGGCTGGACTGGGGGGACTCTGCTTCAGGGTGGTCAGCCAGGACTGCAGCCTGGGAGGTCGTCGCCCCCGTCACTTGGGCTTCTCCAGGAGGAGAGACTCCCCCAGGAGCACAGACCATGTCACCATCCACCTCTGCAGGGATTTGGGATGGTGGGGGCATCAAAAGGGTCTTGTGGTCTGTCTTTGAGGGAAGGCCTGATTCTGTGTCCGTGCTGGCTGGGCCCTGGCCTGCCAGAGTCTCAGTCAAGGAGGGCGACAAAGTCACAGACAGCCCTTTGGGGTCAGGGGTCCCTGCTGGCCTGGGAAGGCCCACCACAGCTGGCATCGACACAGGGAGCAGCCCCTGGGCTGTGAGTACCCAGGTGACGGGCAGAGGGGTGTTGGCCGCCATGTGTGGTCTACTCCTCTGGGTGCCCAGAGCTGGCGTCAGGCTGAGGGGCTGGACAGGCAGCTGAGCAGGGCTGGGGGCTGCAGGAAGAAGGGGTGGTGCCTCAGGCAGGCCCTGCTTCCAGGACGTGGCAGGGGCCTGACACTGTCCAAGACTGTTCAGATGGCAGCTCACAGGAACCTGGCTGGCGCCTGGATCAGGGGCACTGGAGGCAGGTGAGGCCTTTGCAGCCACTGTGGAGATAGGAGTCAAGGCCAAGGCTTGCAGGGCAGGGGGCCCCTTCTCTGTGGCTGAGGCTGAGGAGCTTGAAGTACTTGGGCTGGCTGCTGCAGGGGCTCTAGACGCAGAGAGCGCTGACTTTGAGATGACGGGCCCTGTGGCTATGGGGCCTTGGGAGGCCAGCGGAAGAGGGGGCTGGAGGATCACAGGTGAGGAGACCAGCAGCTGGGGTGGGAAAACCACGGGGGCCTGGGTAGCCTTGCTGGCTCGAGCTTCCCGCAGGCGCTTCTCCCGAAGCAGCTCGGACACAGTTTTGGGCTTGGGCCGGGTGCCGCATGGAGTTGGCAGGGGCACCTGAGAAGCGGACTCGGCTTGGAAGGTCTGCAGGCCCCCACTCCCTCTGTGGCTGGCACCCTTCTTTGCACCTTCCCGGGCTGGCACGCTGCTTAAGAGGCAACCTGAGGGATGACAAAACACACCGATGAGGTCCAGGGACTGGCTAGACAGGCCTTGCCCTGCACCCCGTCAGGGGGCCCTCTAGAGGCAGCTGCTGGGAGCACGGAAGCAGGAGCCTGGCATCCACACCAAGGGGCTCAGGAGTCCCCTACATCTTGAACATCTTCAAACCACTGCCTAGCCCTCCTGGCATCGTCTCTCAGGATCCCAGACCCTTGCCTGATTCTGCTGGTGTGGGGGGACCTGTGGTCTGTGCTGGGGAGGCCTCAGGGCTCACCTACTGTGCTCAACACTACTCCTCCCACCCTGTACAGGCCAGCCAGGCTCCCATCCCTCTTATGGGACTCAAACAAAACCCTCATCAGGGGAGTGGCTATGCTGCTCCCAGCCTGGGACAGGTCTGGCCTCTCCCCACTACACAAAACAGTCAAGAGAAAGGGAGAGGCAGTACCTGGGGCGTTCTGAGCACTTGAGGACACCTGAAAAAGAAGGGAGAGAGTCAGCACCTCAGGGAGTCCCAGCGGCCTGGACCCTTTTCCCACCATCACCACCAAGACCATAGCTCACCTCTTGCCCGTAGTGGGGACAAGGGCTGGCCCTGCACAGCCCCTACATGCAACTCAGGCCATGGCCCAGTCTTTGTACCCTTCCCCAGGACCCCTTGCCTCCCTTCTGACGCAACTCCACCCAAAGGCACCCTTGGGAGAGCTCATCTAGGTGAGTCTGGGCTGGTCTGCAGGGGGAGGCAGGGGACTGGTTGTTTGGGCAGAAGGGCACAGGGGCCTGGATGGGGCACCATGGGCCATATTTGGTCCTCATGCTATTTTGTCATCTCTCCCAGGGGTGACGGGGCTCAGAATACAGCCTTTCACTGACAGACAACATGCGCTCTCGGCTACCTGCACCAGGGGTGGTGTGTGTGTGAGAGAAGCACACTTTGGAAGCCAGGTGGGCCCGAGTGCGGGTCCTGTCTCTGCACCCTTGGATTTGTCTGGAAGTCCTCCGGGCTCCAGAACCTCACTGAGAGACGGGCAGGCCTCTCTCTGAGTCAAGCTCTCATGGGAACCCAGACACCTCCTGTCCCTGGGAAGAGCTGGACCAATGCCATCTACATCCAGTACTGCCTGGGGGATGGGAGGAAAGGGTGGGAGGAGCCAGGTGAGCCCATGCCAGGCACTCACCCTCACTTCTCACCTGAGCACCAGCCTGGGGCAGGGTGGGCAGCTGGGCCTTTCTCTCTTGAACGACCTCCATACAGCCGGTAGTGTCGATCTGAAACAGCTAAGGGACATACACATGACAACATGTGACAGGAGGCCCTTCCCCGCTTTGATGGTGCCCCCCCGTGCCCCACCCAAGGGCCAAGATGACAAAGGTGTTTGCAGTCAGACTCAAACCAGCCCTGCCCACAGCACCTCTCAGGAGCAGGTCCAAGGCCCCAGAGGCACAGGCCAGAGCTCAGTGCAACCTCTGCAGGCCAGTCACCTGGCTGCCTTCCCTGCCCTGACCCAGACCCTTAGGGACAGTGTTCCCGGCTGCCATGACGCACCAGGCCTCCCCGTATCCCATCCCTTCTGGGACCAGGTTTAGATGACAGTGACAGGGTCACTGCGTACTAAAAGCTGTTGGCCACTGAGAAACCGTTTTCTGGGACCCACAACTTCAGAGAGCTGTAAACTCCCACAGGCCACAGAAACACAGGCGGGAGCTCTGCACAGGGCTCACCTGAATAAAGAGGGTGAACACCGGCGTGCTGGCCAGGTGGGCGTCCTGCAGCTGCGCCCTGATGCTGTCAGCTGGGGGGACAAGGGTACATGTGCAAAGTGGCCCCAGCTACCAAGTCCCTCTCCTGGAGGCCCCAAGAGGCTCCAAGAGCCCCAGAGCATGGGAGCCAGGCAGGGAGCCCCCAAAGAACCCCAATTCCAGCTGCCACCACACTGGACCAAGAAGAACAAGGGCCAGAGGGCAGGCTGGCCCTGACTGGTCCTCAGCTTGGCCTTTGGGGACAGGCACTCCTGAGAGAGAGTGTTGATGGGCGAGATCTTCAGAAAACCCAACCTGCTCATGCACCCATGTGCTTATGGTTGCAAGAAGATGGCTCTGCTGAGTGTCAGGCCACTTTCCAGACTGACCACCGTGTGCTAAGCAGGACAACAGGGGCTAAACCCGACATCCCTCCAAGCAGGATGCCCTTCTAGAAAGACAAGCATGTGTCTGTAGGTAACCCTGTGTTTCCCCCTCCCCAGCCCCATGGCCCCACAGCAGGCTCCCAGAACCCCAGGGCAGCACCTTGAGTGTGCACCGCGGTGGGCCTCTGAGGAGCGCAGGGCAGGATGATGTCGCCCACCCATGGGCTCACAGCCATCAGCAGCCGGCGCTCAAGGAGCCTCCTTTGCAGGGCATGTCCCCGGGGCCGCTGCCACAGCTGCCGCATGTGGGGCCTGGCTGCAATGCTGCCACCAGGGGTGGTCCCCTGGGGTGCGCTGAACAGGCACGGCTGCTTTAGCTTCTCCTTCTGTGGGAGGAAGGCATCTGAGCTCCACCCTCACCGTCCTCCACTCCTGTGTACCAGAGGGAGAGGGAGGCCAGACCAGGATGGGAACGGGGGAAGGGGTGGTTGTGGCAGTGCGTGCACACACAGGTGCATGGCGGGGTGATGGGAGCAGTGGGTGGACAGATGCAGGCAGGCCCTTACTCGTGTCCGGCACCGGGTGGCCGTGTTGGTCCTGAGCACCTGCAGCACGGTCTCCAGAGGTACCTTCAGCAGATGCCTCCCGCTCTGATAAAGACAGATTGAGGATGGAGGGCAAGGAGCCTGGCATGGAGACTGCCATGTGGGCAGTGCACACACCTCTTGCCCAGACCCCAAAGTTGGCACCTGCACTGGTGAGAAACATACCCTGAAGCCCAGTGGCCTCAGGCAGGGCCTCCCCCAAGACAGGCACACATGTGACTAACCCCATTGGACCTGAGCCACTGCATTGATGCAGGTCAGAGGGAAGCGGCTCCTCCTTGCCCCACCTTTCTGCGCCAGCTTGAGGTGAAACGTTTCAGAAACGGCTCCAGGTCTAAGTGCCCTCAGTAGTTCTCCCAAGTGGCTTTTACAGCAAAGAAATCGGGGCAATGAGGCCGTAGGCCTCACTGAGGAAGGCTGCTGCCCTAGCCCCAGTTCTGATATGGGCCAGAAACAAATGTTCTAAGGGCAAGGAGGGGGGTGCTGCCCCACACTTGGGGACAGGGCTGGCACGAGATTGGGCTGGCCCACTGCACTGAGTACCTGCTGCCTTGGTGACTGCTGAGCAGCAGCAACTAATCCCCCCAGTCTGGGATATACCAGGGCCATGCCCACCTCATCTGCCGGCCCCTCTGAGCTCGTGGGATGAGTGTCCGTGGAGTGTGGGTACCCAACACCTCTCAGGCTGGCGCTTTGGGTCCTGGAGGGGGGCTGAGCCTGGCCCACCTCTGCGACTTTCCTGCTACCACCTTGGGCCTTATTTGAGGTGTTGGGAGAGGCAGGCAAGCGTTCTGGGCAGCCCTCTGCCCCTGCTGCCTTAAGTGGGTGGGCGCTCTGCCTGGCAGGAATCCACAGGTCTATGTCTGGCACGGTGTGCTGTGCTGACGGCAGTGCTTGGCCACTCTCCTGGGCATCTGGGGCTTCCTCTGGCTCTGGCTCCGAGTCCCCGCTGTCCTTGCTGTCCCCGCTGCTGCTGTCCCCGACACTGCTGTCCTCGCTGCTGCTGTCCTCACTGCTGGAGCTCCACCGCACGCTGCGCAGGCGCCGCCGCCGCCTCCTTCTGCCCTGACCCTGCCTCTTTTGTGGAGAAAGGGCTGCCTGAGGCCTCAGCCACCTGGGGCTCAGCAAACAGGGACACAGGCAGGCAGGCCAGCCCCTCCTGACTGCTCTGGGGAGGGCGGCTACCCACCAGGCAGGTCTTTCTCTGCCCTTGGCCTCTTGGAAGAGACACCAGGGCCAGAAATCAGAGGCCCTCTCCTTTCTGTCCCACCTGAGCCCCTCATCCTGCTCAGGGGAGGCCAGCCCCATAGCACAGGGGCAGGCCCGTGACGGATGTTGGGTGAGGCTTACCCTGACCATGACTTTCCACTTGCTCAGACACTGGGAGCCTGTCCGGTGGGGGAGTTCAGAAGCGATTTTTTCCCAGTGACCTGCAAAGCAAAACAATGTGGAAGCCACTTCGCATCTTTGACGACACAGGCTCCTTGGCCTGGGAGAGGCTCTTCTCTGAGAAGTGCTATCTCTGTCAGAAGACGGGCATTGTCCCCTCAGGATGGGCTCCTGATCCCCCTCCTACTGCTCCCGCACTGAGCTTCACCGTCAAGTAAAAAACAGCTGGCTCAACTCAGTTAACTGAATGATTCAATGTGAAAATGCCTTTCTCAGAAAAGCAACTTGCACGGAGAACCAGGCACGTGCACACCAGTGGGCCAGTCGGCTCCAGGAGCGAAAGAGGTGAGTTACCTCACTTCCCTTCTCTTGGTTCATCTCCAATTCTCAATGTTCTCTAGTGACTGTGAGTTAGTTTGTACGGTGGTAACCACCACCATTTGACAAGGTGACAACCCCCTGGAGGAATGAGTCAACCAGGGAGGCAGCCCGGGAGCGGAGCGCTGCCAGCCTCTTGTGGCTGCATCAGAAAGAACTTACCGACGCCGTGTTTCTCTATTAGTTCAATTAACTTCTCCTCTTCCTTTGAATTCCATCGTCCCTTTTTCAAGTTGAAATGTAGCCTTCTGAGGTATCTGAAAATGACATGAAAACAAATGCATGTTTTAGATGCTAAGATGGCCTCCCCCTGACATCGAAAGCCCAGGCAACCCCCAAAATACAGATAAACTGGACTTGATCAAAATTAAAAACTCGTGTGCTTCACCATCAAGAAAGTGAAAGACAACCCACACTGAGAATTTACAAACCAAACATCTGAAAAGGAACTTGTACCTGGAATTTATGAAGCGCTCTACCAGGCAATAGTACAAAACAAATTAACTCAAGTTTAAAAATGGGTGAAGGACACGAACAGACATTTTTCCAGAGGAGACAAGCATACAGAAAGATGCTCACGTGGGCAGCCATCAGGGAAAGGCCAAACCAAACCAGTGACACACACGTCACCCCCCAGGATGGCTCCATCAGAATAGTATTAAGTACTGGGAATGCTGTGGGAGACTGGCTCCTGCACACTGTTGTGGGACAGAGTGTGGGGTAGCCACTGTGGAGAGCAGTCTGGCAGTTTATCCCCAAAAGGATAAACCAGCGTTGCCATGTGACCCAGCAACTGCACTCCTAGGTGCGTATCTGAGAAATGAGGACATCGAGCACAGGAGGACTTGCTCGTAAAGCCCACGTTTCCCAGGCTCGTGCATGCTGCAGCACACAGTAGGTTTTCACGAGTTTCTAAGGCTAAATAATACCCTGCTGTCCAGACACTGCAGAACCATCCTCCTTACCCACCCTCCGTCCATGGGTGCTTGGGTGTGTCCACCTCTTGGATGCTGTGAATAGTGCTACTGTGGACACGGTGTGCAAACAGGTTTGAGTCCCTGTGCTCACAACCTGGGTGCGGAGGGGCATTTCTGGGTCACGTGGCAGTCCTGTTTAATTTCTGAGGAGCCTGCAGGCTGTTCTCCACAGCGGTGGCTCCACGGCGCATTCCCACCAGCAGAGCCCCGGGTTCCGGTTTCTCCATGTCCTTGTGTGTGAAGTGCTAACTCGCGGTTTGACTTGTGTTTGTGAAATGACTAATGATGTGAGCACCTTTTCATGTGTTTAAACTTTGGAGATATGTCTATTCAGGTCCTTTGCCCAGTTTTGAATTGTTTCCTTTGTTGGGGAATGAGGTTCTGTTGTGGGGTACTCCAAATATCCTAAAATACTATTGTAGCTGCATGACTCAGCGAATGTACTGGAAACCAGAAAACATACATGTTAAAAGGGTAAGTTATGCGGTAAGTGAATTACGCCTTAATGAAACTGTGTGAAGTAAAAGCAAGCCCAGAAGAGGAGGGGCGAAAGCCGTCTGCCTGGGACCTTGCCCACCAGTGATTTGAGAAATTTGGACAATAGGGCTCAGGGCAACTGCCAACCAGGGACCATCTCAAGCTGAGCCTGAACAAGGTGCAGTTTAAAAATAAAAGCTATCTTGCTTCCCGACTGGGTTACCCCTGTGCCCCAAGGTGCCCCTGTGCCAGATCTCCCAGGCCCCGGTCTCCTTGCCCACCCAGGTCCACTGCACCAGGCATGTCTGACTCACCGATCTCGGCACTGGGCATCGCTCCTACCTGGCACCTCTTCCCTGATTTTAAACCAATCCTGCTCCCCGTATTTGGCAACCGCTTGAAGCAACTTCTGCAGGAAGGGACACACAGACAGATGAGCCTCCGCAGCAGTCACAACCTCCCCCCTTGACTCAGTCCATGTAAGCGGAACCCAGGGGCCTGGTGGCCACTCAAGGTGTCCAGGTGCACTTCCCAGGAGAAAGATGGTCCTCCTTGGATACCCCATACCTACCGCATCTTCCTCTGGGGTCCAGAGGCCCTTTCTGAGGCTGGGATCCAAGCTCTTGGTCCACCGATAGGTGAGCTGCATGGAGTCTCGTCCTTCCATGTAGTAGACAACTGGGGACAGAGGGGCCTTGTGAATGCTGTACCTCCCGGTTCACCCAGGAAAGAGTGGCTCTAACCACTGAGGATGTAACTGGAACCCCTGGGAAGACAGGACCCTCCCTTCTTCCTCCAGCCTCTCCTCACTATACTTGGGAACCACCTTGGCCATCCCTGCTCTGCCATAGGCGGGGCTCAGGCTGAGGGTGCTGGGATGTGCCCAGAGGCCCGGCAGACTCACTTCTGCGGTAGGGGATGTGGCTGCCCACGCGCATCTCCTGCACCAGCTGGGTGAGCATGCGGTCCTCCTCCTCTGTCCACTCTCTGCGCTTCAGGGCTTTGCTGTGCTGCTGGTATTTCTGCAGGCACTGGAAGGCACTGCGGCTGGTCTTCCAAAGCCAAACCAAAGCAAAGGCTGTTAAAGGCGCTCACCCATGTGCAGAGGGGCGTCCAGGGCACAGCTGGGTTAGAGTGCCATGCGGGTAACATGCTCCTGTGCACCAATGGTCTACTTACCCCCACCAGACCCCAATGGGGATAACAGGAGCACCCCACAATGGGAACAGACGTTTTTGGAAAGAAAGTAGCTCAGAAAAAGTCACAATAACACTTCATTTATATGACACCAAAACCACACTTGGACTCAAACACCCGAAACTTCCAGCTCTGCCACGCCTGGCATAGCTCATGCCTCTCAGCTTAGTGGCCAGCATGGCGGCTCCACCTCAAGCACTAGAGTCTCTAAGGTCTCTCTGCAGCGGGGTCAGGGTAGTGGAAAGGGCACATGTGTGGGAGGGACCTGTGCACCCCGCCAGCGAGGATGGTGACTCCTCCTTATACACAACACCAAAAGCATGACCCATGAAACAAATAACTGACAAGCGGGACTTCACTAAAATTAAAAACTTCTGCTCAGTGAAAGATGTCAAGAGAATTAGGGGACAATCCACAGACTGGGAGAAAATATTTGCAAGAAACATATCTCACAAAGGACTGTTATCTAAAAAATACAAAGAATCTTAAAACTCAACAAGAAACAATCCGATTAGAAAACGGACCAAAGACCTTCAGACACCTCGTGAAAGAAGGTATGTGTATGGCGAATAAGTGTGCGAGAAGCTCCAAGTCATATCACCAGGGAAACGCAAATTAAAATGAGACACCACTGCCCACCTATCAGAACGGCCGAACCAAGAGCACTGACAACACGGGACGCTGGGCGGGTGGGGGCCGCAGGAACGCTCACCCACTGCTGGTGGGGATGCAGATGGGGCAGCCACTTTGGACGGCAGTTTGGTGGTTTCTTACAAAACTAAACGTACTCTAACCATGCGATCCAGCAATTGTGCTCCTTGGTATTTACCCAAAGGAGTTGAAAACTTAAGTCCACACAAAGACCTTCACATGGATGTTTATAGCAGCTTTATCCACAATTGCCAAGACTTGGAAGCCACCATGATGTCCTTCAGTAGGTGATACATAATAAACCATGGTCCACCCAGACAGTGGGATGTTATTCAGCACTAAAAGGACATGAGTGATGTAGGCCATGAAGACACACGGAGGAACCTAACATGCCTATGACCAAGTGAGAGAAGCCGAACTGACAAAGCTACACACTGTGTGACTCCAACTCTGACATTCTGGAAAAGGCCAAACTGTGGGACAGTGAAAAGACCAGGGGGAGGGATCAGGGGTTGGGGGATGAACAGATGGAGCACAGGGGATTTTTTTAGGGCAGTGAAACTGCTCTGGGTGATGCTGTAATAGCAGGTATGTCATTACACGTTGTCCAAACCCACAGAACACACAATACCAAGAGTGACCCCAATGTCAACTGTGGACTCCAGGTGATGATATGTCAGTGTGGGTCCATCCTTGGTATTAAAAAAAAAAAAAGCACCTGGGAAGTGATGTTGATAATGGGGGAAGCTGTGCACGTGGGGGCAAAGGGTATATAGAAATCTCTGTACCTTCGTTCTTCTCAATTTTGCTGTGAACCTAGAAATGTTCTAATAAAAAAAGTCTTTCAATATAAAACTAGCCCTGGTCGGTATGGCTCAGTGGTTAGAGTACTGTGCTATGCACTGAAGGGCTGCGGGTTTGCATCCTGGTCAAGGGCACATACCTAGGATGCAAGTTTGATCCCTGGTTGGAGCTTGTGCAGGAGGCAACTAATCAATTTTTCTCTCTCATATCAATGTTACTCTCTCCCTCTTTCTATCTCTCTCTCTCTCTCTCTCTCTGTCAAATCAATGAAAACATGCCCTTGGAGAAGANACTCTCTCCCTCTTTCTATCTCTCTCTCTCTCTCTGTCAAATCAATGAAAACATGCCCTTGGAGAAGAGTTAAAAAAAAGGAATGACTTTTTAAAAATCATAATTTACCAAGTTAGTAAAAGCATAAAGTTATATGTACCAAACTATACAGCAGCTAAGAAAACAAAGCAAAACTATTAGAGATACAAGAAGAAAATATCTTTTTAATATTGTTATGTCAGGTTTAATCCAAGTTACATTGATACAACTCTAGGAATTAAACAGCTCTTGGGATAAAAATTCAGGAATATTACAGACAAGTTATTTAATGAGCTTATTTATTTAGACCCCAAGACCCTGCAAGAGGAGAGCACATGTTGGTTTTTAAAAGGCTCTGGTAGGTTTGGCTACGTTTGCTGCAATCACAGGCTTGGACCTGACTGTGATAAATAAAGAAATTGAGATTTTATAGATCACGTTTTCAGGTCACAAGTCAATAAAATTCAAACCAAAGAACAAGAAGGACTACGCAAAACCTAACTATTTAAAAACGAGGAAACCTATTCCTATGTAAGCTAAGATCCAAAGAGGTGATGAATCTGAAGTTAGACATTTATAAAGAGAACACTTTCTGTCAAGCTGCTGTCAGTAAGGCCGCCTTAAATACCTTTGTTATCAAAGACAGAGGCCAAGTGAAAAACAACAAAAGAACTGAAAAGAAACTAGGAAAGTGTTCTCGAACACTTCCAAATTAACTCCTCTGAAGTTGATGGGGACAGAAAGAAAAATGGGGACAGAAAGGAACGGAGACAGAAGGCACTAAGGCTGGTCTTGAGCACACTAAGGCAAGTGTGCTCTCAGAAGGGCTACGGGGTCTGAGAGGTATGGAGGGGTCACCCTGCCTGAGGCCCACACCCTTGAAAGTGGCCAGACAAGATTTCACAGGCTCCAAGTGA